GGAGCTTGCAGTGAGCGGAGATCGCGCCACTGCACTCCAGCCCGGGCGACAGAGCGAGACTCTGTCTCAAAAATAAATAAATAAATAAAAATAAAAATAAAAATAAATAAATAAATTTAATCTTATCTTCCATAGAAGTAGGTTCCAAGACTCTTCAGTTATGCTATCAATTAGTTTGAGTTACTTAATAAAAACATATTATTTTAAAATTACCCTAGTAAATAAACTTTTCATTGGATCTAGTTGACAGACCTTTACTCAAAAAAGATTTACTGAATTGAGGCTCTTCTTGCACGTGGCTGTCCCCTCCTGTACATATACAAGCTCCTATATATCCTGAACCCCATTAGACGGCCAAAGTTGGCCAGGTGTGGTGCCTTGCACCTAGAATCCCAGCACTTTGAGAGGCCCAGGCAGGAGGATCTCTTGAGCCCAGGGGTTCGAGACCAGGATGAGCAACACAGAAGGACCCTGTCTCTTAACCAAAAAAAAAAGATGGTCAAAACATCTGGGGAACAGGTCTACTTTCAGAAAACTATGGAAGTGGTCAATACCTGTTTTCAGAGATTTCTCCTCTGATTACATTGTAAATTCTTATAGGACAACAATGGGCTTCCACTTTTACAATAACCGCTATCCCTAAAAAGCAGTGTTGCCCTGAGGTGGAGGAAGGGGGTGTTATTGAATAAGGGCTGAATTAATTAATCCAACTGTGAGTTCCCAAATCCAGCTATAAGCCTAAATTACCTGGGGAACTTTATTAGTACAGATTACTGGATCCTGCTTTTTTTGTTTTTTGAGAGGGAATCTTGCTCTGTCACCCAGGCTTGAATGCAGTGGCGCGATCTCGGCTCACTGCAAGCTCCACCTCCTGGGTTCACACCATTCTCCTGCCTCAGCCTTCCCAGCAGCTGGGACTACAGGCTAATTTTTTTGTACTTTTAGTAGAGATAGGGTTTCATTGTGTTAGCCGGGATGGTCTCGATCTCCTGACCTTGTGATCCACTTGCCTCGGCCTCCCAAAGTGCTGGGATTACAGGCATGTGCCACCACACCTGGCCTGGATCCCGTTCTTCATTGAGATTCCAAGTTAGTCTTAGAATTTTTTTTTTTTTTTTGAGAGAAGCTCTTGTTCTGTTGCCCAGACCATAGTGCTACAGTACAATCATGGCATCATGGGTCACTGCAGCCTTGAGCCCCTCAAGTGATGAACCTGACTCAGCCTCCCAAGTAGCTGGGTTTACAGGTGCGCCCCCCCCATGCCTGGTGATTTTTTTTTTTTTTTTTTTTGTAGAGACAGGGTCTCACTACATTGCCCAAGCTGGTCTCAAACTCCTAGGGTCAAGCCAACTCCTGAGATCAAGTGATCCTCCTGACAGCCTCCCAAAGTGCTAGGACTACAGGAGTGAGCCACCAGGCTTGGCCTGGAATCTCTCTCTTTTTTTTTTAACAAGATGACTTGGTGCAGGGACATGGCCTTCACACTGGACTGTATGACACACCAGGCTGTCCCACGTAGCAACGCAACCTTTGATTCATACACACAGCTGTAACAGCAGTGGCCACATGCACCAAAGTCGTGTTACCTCATAGGCTTCTGCCAGCTGGGAGAACTTCTCCTTGGCTTTGGGATCATCCTGATTTGTGTCGGGGTGATACTTCTTGGCAAGCTAAGGGAAAAACATGAGAAATTATTTCAGATACAACATGAACCCCAAATACCAGATACAACAGAACCCCAGATACCAGTCATAATTATGTTTCCTTTATCAAAGTTGTCTCTCGGCCGGGTGCAGTGGCTCACGCCTGTAATCCCAACACTTTGGGAAGCGAAGGCAGGTAGATCACTTAAGCTCAGGAGTTCAAGACCAGCCTGGGCAACATGGCAAAACCCCTCTCCACCAAAAATACAAAAAATTAGTCAGGCATGGTGGCACATGCCTGTGGTCCCAGCTACTCAGGAGGCTGAAACATGAGAATCACTTGAACCTGGGAGGTGGAGGTTGCAGTGACCAGAGATTGACCCACTGCACTCCAGCCTAGGTGACAGAGTGAGACTGTCCCTCCACCCCACAAAATAATAATAATAATGATCTGTTTTAATGTACCCATCTCTCCACTTGAGGGCAGGAACTGATTCTGATGTATCTTTGCCCTTAGCACCCAGCATGGCTTAGAATAGGTAAATGAACAAAAAAGAAAAACAAAATTTTAAAAAGGGGGCCGGGTGCAGTGGCTCATGCCTATAATCCCAGCACTTTGGGATGCTGAACTGGGTGGATCACCAGCGGTCAGGAGTTTGAGACCAGCCTGGCCAACATCGTGAAACCCCATCTCTACTAAAAATACAAAAATTAGCCAAGTATGGTTGCACACGCTTATAAACACAGGTACTCAGGAGGCTGAGGCAGGAGAATCGCTTGAGCCCGGGAGGCAGAGGCTGCAGTGAGCCAAGATTGCACCACTACACTCCAGCCGGAGCAAGACAGCGAGACTCTGTCTGAAAAAAGGAAAAATTTTTAAAAAGGGAAGAAAATGACTGAATAAATAGACGTTTCTGCTGTTTCGATTATTTTTGTAAGTACATAAAATACAGTAATTGCTACAGCTTTACCTGATCTTTTTACTTCCACGCCTAAAGACTTAATTTAGAGAATTAAGTCTTTCTCTTAAATTATGTCTCTAGGACTTGCTAAGGGCCTGAAATCAACTGTCATGTGAGTTCAACCCAGCCTCCATCTTTTCAATCTTTTCCCACTCTTGGATCAGGCACCTGACTCTTGAGCTCAGGAAGAGACAGGCCATCAGCTATTCACAGGCCAAGATCTCTGCTTCCGGTCCCCATGCCTCTGCTCATTCCATTACAACCCAATTTAAAAAAAAGGCAACCCAATTAAAAGCAGGCAATGGATCCAAACACACATTTCTCCAAAGACATACTAATGGCCAACATGCACAAGAAAAGATGCTCAACATCATTAGTCACCAGGGAAAAAGCAAATGGAAACTCTAACGAGATAGCATTTCATATTCACTAGGGTAGTAATTAAAAAGACAGATGATAATAAGCGTTCACTGGGATGTGGAGAAATCATGGCCCTCTTACGCTGCTGGTGGGAATGTAAAATGGTGCGGCTGCTCTGAAAAAGGCTGGCAGCTTCTCAAAAGGTGAAACATCCAGTTACCATATGACTCAGCAACTATACTATCCTAAATATCCAAGAGAACTGAAAACATGTCTACACAAAAACTTACATATGAATGTCTATATAGCAGCACTGTTCATGATAGCAGAAAGTGGAAAATATCCAAATGTCCATCAGACGATGAAGAAACAAAATGTGATCAATCCATGCAACAGATTATTTGAGCACGAAAAGGGATGAAGTATTGACACAAGCTACAAGACAGACGAGCTTTGAAAACATTATGTGAATGAAAGAAGCCAGACACACAAAAGGATACATATCCTATGATTCCCTGTAAGTGAATACTCAGAATAGGCGAATCCAAAGAGGCAGAATGCAGGTTAGCAGCTGCCAGGGACCGGGGAGAAAGGATAATGGAAGGGGGGTGCTAATGAATACAGGGTTTCTTTTTGAGGTAATGAAAATGTACTAAAGTTGACTGTGGTGGCAGTTGCACAACTCCAGTGAAGTGTGCACTTATAAAAAGATGTCAATCCTAGAGTGGTGCCTCCAATATTGATTTTATTTTATTGGTCAGAGCAAACCAAGGGTCTAGGAACCAGTGGTGTAGACATCTCGTATACAACTTTACTCAGCTACCCTAACTACCCTAATACACCCTGGGATACAACAATGGGAATTCCACATTTTCCAGGTTAAGAAAGGGCCGGGCGCGGTGGCTCACGCCTGTAATCCCAGCACTTTGGGAGGCTGAGGCTGGTGGATCATCCGAGGTCAAGAGTTTGAGAACAGCCTGACCAACAAAGTGAAACCCCATCTCTACTAAAAATACAAAAAATATTAGCCGGGTGTGGTGGCATGCGCCTGTGTCCCAGCTACTTGGGAGGCGGAGATTGCAGTGAGCCAAGGTCGCGACACTGCACTGCAGCCTGGGTGACGGAGTGAGACTCCATCTCGGGGAAAAAAAAAAAAAAAGAAAGGAAGTAATTCTAAACCTATAAACTTTTATCTGGATGCAAAAAATGACTACCTAAAACTTAAGACTAGCACACCTGCTGATTCAGAAAGTACAGACTAAATTTAATTATGAAAACAGCTCTGGAAAAAAAACTTTTAAAAATCTCTGGTTTTTTCTCTTTTTTCTGAAGCACTAACCTCTACAGCATTGTGCACCAAAAAACAGTCTAGCAAAGTCCAACTTTATCACACCCTTCTATATATCAGCTCATGAGACCTATCCACATGGACATATATGCTGTACTGATTCAGGATCAGATGGGATCAAAAACATTCCTTCTACAATTTGGTCACCAAAATCTGACTTCCATACAGACCTGATAATAGGCTTTCTTGATCTCTTTCTGGCTGGCATTTCGAGGCACTCCTAATATCTGGTAATAATCTTCTTTGGCCAAAGGGGCATTCGTGTGGAAGGAGGCAGTACAAATGAAAGGGTAATGTTTTGTTCCTAAAAAGGAAAAAAGAAAAAGAAAGAAAATCACTCTGGGAATGTTCTCAACAAAAGAAAACTGTGAGTACATGACCCACTGGTTTGTATCTGTGAAGGAACAAACAACCTGGTAGGGTTTGGCTGTGTCCCCACCCAGATCTCATCTAGAATTTTAGTTCCCATAATTCCCATGTGTCATGGGAGGGACCTGATGGGAGGTAATTGAATCACAGGGGCGGTTACCTCCATGCTGTTCTGGCGATAGTAAGTTATCACAAGATCTGATAGTTTTATAAGGGGCTTTTCACCCTTTTGCTCGTTCTTCCTGCTGCCATGTTAAGACGGATATGTTTGCTTCTCCCTCCACCATGATCGCTGAGGCTTCCCCCGCCATGCTGAACTGTGAGTTAATTAAACCTCTTTCCTTTAAAATTTACCCAGTCTTAAGTATGTCTTTATTAGCTGCATGAGAACAGACTAATACACAGACTACAGCTTTAGGGCTGTTCCTTGCCAAGCCCACTGCAGATCAAACTCAATGTACTTCAATAATGGCTAAAGAAGCCACAGTATTCGATTAATATAGAGTACTGGATGAGGCTGATTCTCCTGCCTTATACTACTGGAGTGGTCTCAGCACACCACTAAAGGAATAATACCCCTGACTGGGAGATGAATAAAAAGGGATTCAGCTCCCCTTCTTATACCACATAAGCACTTACCATATGCTAGGTATTTTCATATTCTTCTGTCACACTTAATGCTTAACAACTCTCCACATTCTTTTCCCTCTATCTTGCAGCCTTGGGTACTGCATAAGGAGCGGTTCTCAAGACTATGGTCCCTGGACCAACAGCATCATTACATTGAAGAAAATACAGACGTTCAAGCCCTACTCCACACATTCACCAGAAACTCAGGAGGTCTCCACCCACTAGATGCCAGCAGAGAACTCCCCCTATGTCTCCAGGCATTGCCAAATGTCCCCTGGGAAGTAAGAGTCCCCTGCTGAGAACCAATGACAACTCAATCTAAGAAGGTCAGGGAAGAACTTCTAGGCATCAGTTGTTAAGCTGCAGAAACTGGCTGAGCTGCCCAGGAAAGCACTTGCCATTTTCAGTGGAAAACAAGTGGCAGTTACTAACTAGGATAACTTCGTACTTTGGATCTGGATTTGCAGCACCTTTTTTAACAGCAAGACAACAACTGCTTAAGAAACAAAGAAGTTTTGGTTCATCCATTTAACAGATAGGAAGAGCGGGTTTTTTGGTTTTTTTGAGATGGAGTTTCGCTCTGTCTCCCAGGCTGGAGTGCAGTGACGCCATCCTGGCTCACTGCAAGCTCCACCTCCCGGGTTCATGCCATTCTCCTGCCTTGGCCTCCCAAGTAGCTAGGACTACAGGCGCCCGCCACCATGCCCAGCTAATTTTTTTATATTTTTAGTAGAGACGGGGTTTCACCGTGTTAGCCAGGATGGTCTCGATCTCCTGACCTCGTGATCCACCATGCCCGGTAGGTTTTCTGTTTGTTTGGGTTTTTTTTGAGATGGAGTTTCACTCCTGTTGTCCAGACTGGTGTGCAATGGTGCAATCTTGGCTCACTGCAACCTCTGCCTCTTGGGTTCAAGTGATTCTCCTGCCTCAGCCTCCCAAGTAACTGGGACTACAGGCATGCACCACCAGGCCCGGACTGCAATAGTGTTTTAATAGGTGAAATCTCTTTAAAAAGTGAATAAGCCGGGCCGGGCGTGGTGGCTCACGCCTGTAATCCCAGCACTTGGGGAGGCCAAGGCGGGAGGATCACCTGAGGTCAGGAGTTAGAGACCAGCCTGACCAACATAGAGAAACTCCGTCTCCCATACTAAAAATACAAAATTAGTCAGGCGTGGTGGCGCATGCCTGTAATCCCAGCTAGTGAGGAGACTGAGGCAGGAGAATCGCTTGAACCTGGGAGGCAGAGGTTGCGGTGAGCCAAGATCACACCACTGCACTCCAGCCTGGGCTACAAGAGCAAAACTCCATCTCAGAAAAATAAAAAATAAAAAATAAATAAATAAATAAAAATAAGCCCGGGCACAGTGGCTCTCACCTGTAATCCCAGCACTTTGGGAACCTGAGGCGTGAGGATCGCTTGAGCCCAGGAGTTCAAAACCAGCCTGGGCAACACAGAGACCCTGTCTCTATTAAACATAAATAAATAAATGGATCAAAGACTTGAACTTATAAGGCACACTAGATATGTTTGTAAATAGACTTATGACATGGAAAAAAAAAAAGAGAGAGAAAGAAATACGCTAAGAGGGATTTGAATCCATACAGATTAATTCTGTATGTGGTGGCAGTGGTGTTTAGAGATAATGATTAATGGGGCCTAGGAATAAGAAGGGCCTTAGAGTTATGCTAAGGAGTCTGGATTTTATCCTAAGAGCAATAGGGAGTCACTGCAAATGTTAAACAAAGAACTCAGTGGGTTTGCATGAGAAACAACTCTAGGCTGGGCGCGGTGGCTCCCGCCTGTTGTAATCCCAGCACTTTGGGAGACCGAGGCCGGTGGATCACTTGAGGCCAGGAGTTTGAGACCAGCCTGGCCAACATGGTAAAACCTTGTTTCTACTAAAAATGCAAAAATTAGCTGGTCATGGTGGCGCACACCTATAATCCCAGCTACTCCAGAGGCTGAGGCATGAGAATTGCTTGAACCTGGGAGGTTGAGGTTGTAGTGAGCCAAGATCGTGCCACTACACTCCAGCCTGGGCAACAGAGCAAGACTCCATCTGAAAAAAAAAAGAGAGAGAGAGAGAAACAACTCTAGGAAGCCTGGAAGACTACCTGAAGTTAATGAGCACAAAATACAGCCAGAGGTGTTGAACACATCCAAGTAGGAGGCCAGGTAAAGGATGATCAGAGCAGAATGAATAGGAATGGTCAGGATACTTAAAATTAGAAATAGGAAATAAATCCGTGTGTTTGGCATACCCAATACCCTGGGAATATAAAAAGCACACTGGAAGCAGTAGGGGTCAGGAGACCACTATTGGGTTTCTTCAGTCAGACTTGAGAAAACACTAGAGCTGGCTTATTATTGAACCTGTACTCCACCCTCTTTTTATTTGGGAGTAAGGGGTTGCCCTGGCCCAGTCCAGCCTCTCTCTCACCACTCCTTCCAATGCCAAAAGGCTGAGGCTGGTAGTGACCTATGGCAGCTGTGACTTCAACATTGTGGGCAGAGAACATGGACTGGAGTTAGTACAGAGATAGTAACGCACAAAACTGCATGTGGATAAAGACAAATCATGTTTAATTACAAGATTAATGGCTTTGTTTTTTATTTTTTTTGAGTCAGAGTCTCGCTCTGTCGCCCAGGCTGGAGTGCGGTGGTGTGATCTCGGTTCACCGCAACCTCCGTCTCCCAGGTTCAAGCGATTCTTCTGCTTTAGCCTCTCAAGTAGCCAGGACTACAGGCACACACCACCACAGCTCGCTAATTTTTGTATTTTTAGTAGGTAAGAAGTTTCATCATGTTGGCCAGGCTGGTCTCAAACTCCTGACCTCAAGTGCTCCGCCGGCCTCATCCTACCAAAGTGCTGGGATTACAGGCATAAACCACCATCCCGTCTGATGACTTTCAACATTATCCAAAGGGCATCATTGATTAACAATAATTAGAGTTCATTTAATAGACAATTTATTTTATCAGATATGACCAGTAAATGTCCTGTCCTTTTTAGAACAACCCAGAATAAAATAAGCCTCCAAGTCGTTCCAAGAATGGCCAACCCACTGTCCAAC